AACTAGTAGTATATATATATATATATATATATATATATAGAGTGCGTTCCTTTAGTACTCTGAGTACTATCACTGAATACTACGAATAATATTCCGATATAGAAAGTAGTGCACTCCGAAAGAACTGCCTTGAATTCTATGACGTCATTGATTTTGACATACTTCCTGTTGCGGCTACCGCCATACAACTAGCGAGGTAAAGCAGTTATTATATATATTAGCAGTTTTATTATATATATTAAATATAAAATATATATATATATAAAAATAATTAATAATAATAAAAAATAATAAATGCTAAATAATAAAAAAATGAATAATAATATTAATATCAATAATAACAATAATAAAAAAATAATTAATAATAATAAATAATTTTATAATATTATTTATATTTTATAATATCATAATAATTTCATCATATTATATTATTTCATATTATACGCTTTATTTTCTTCAGCATCAATCAAGCTTATTTCAGTCTCCATGAAAGCAGCCATCTTCGTGCTTTAACTGCTTTACCTCGCTGGTTGCGGTAGCCAATATTCGTAATACTGATAGTACTCGGAGTGAATAAAGAAACGCACCCCCGTAGTACACTTCCATTACGTCATAGCATGAGCACTCGGAGTGAATAAAGGAACGCACCCATAATCTAGCATGGACTAGAGATCCTATAAGAAGAGACTCGCCAACGATTCGCCAAGAGACTCGTCACGTTAGTAAATTCTGATTGGCTGGGATATGGATTGCACATCTGTGTTCCACACACAGATGTCTATACCAGAGAAGAACCTGAGAGTGGCCACGCCGGCCTTTTTCGTGACACCGTAAAAATCGCCGTACACTACCGCCGCCGCAATGTCTATAATTGAGCCGTGGAACTACAAGTCACATCTATTTTCCGACACTGCCGATATCATGTCATTTCATTCTTATTGTTAAATATTATCTACATATCGCAATTATTAGTTGAATACAGTATGCAGTATCTATTCCAATTTCTAATTCGTCGAAAAATCTAGTGTCTAATGTAAATATATTTGTATTTAATACAAATTTTCTTATTACTTTATTAACAATTTTATTGTATATACTTCTTTTTAGAATCTGCGTGTGGCTGTCTTTTGTTAAAAAGAAATTCCAATATTTTGAAGCCATTTTTTCAAATAGTCTTCTCTTTTAAGTGGAAATCTAAAATATTAAAAATTTCGTTTTTACCATAATCTATAAAATTACATTAACAACTATTTATATTTCATGAAACATTTATATATTTATTATAAATATAAAACTTAAGTAAATAGACTAATACTATTTTTTTTATTACGACACTTTTTGATACAGACAACAAGACGCTGACATTTTTACAGAAATTTAATGGCCATACATACACTGACACTGTAAAATTCAAATATCACATCTACAGATGTCTATACTAAAGCCAACGGCACATGATGCTTTTTTTCCTGCTGATTTGCTAGCTGGATTTGCGTGCTCGTGAGCTCTTGTCTCTGATTGGTATATTCTTTTGGATCTAAAAAATATACCAATCGAAGACAAGAGTTCACAAGCATGCGAATCCAGCTAGCAACTAGCAAAGAAAAAAGCAATCGTGTGCCGCTGGCTTAAAACTGATTGCTGATTAGGACTTTGG